ACACTAGGTGCGTTCCTCTAAGTCTTCCTACCAATATGATCAAGTTGAGAAAACAAGGTCAAACACCCTCAATATTGAGTTATGTTCATTCTATTTTATTTCAAGGAAGACAAGGCATTTCCCCATATCACATTCTGTTTTGTGATTGTTGATGAAGCAAAATTATATTTGTTATAGCAATTGACGACTACTTTATTTCGTTATGAGTAGGTTTTCATGTTTACCAGTAAATCAGCTTTATGAGTTATGTTCACCTTATTTTGTTTAAGGTGATGAAGGAATACTAGTCTCTAAGCCCTAATTATGGACGAAAAATAAATGATTTAGTCGGTTATCACATAAAATATAACATTGTTTCATCACCATCCTATCAAAGAATATGATATAAGAAAATGACTGGCTTTTTCAATTTTACTCTCGTCTAAAAACTGTGTTGATTATTGTACAGTCATTTCATCTTTCGTGATGATGGGTTCAGTTGCTCATCTTTCGTATCTAGTCGTGCCATATCATGCCACATAGTATCCTCATGTATGTGCGTATCTGATAGAACTATGCCGCATTATGCATGCCTATGTGTGCACGAATGTTTTCAAATACGATCTTATTGGTTTCTACTTGCAACTGTGCTGCGTATATATTTGTTTTGGCGTATTTATACATTGTGCTGTTATTTATCAGAATTACAAATAAAACTTTGTAACTTAATCAGTGCGATGTCATACAGAATGTACTATATTGCTTAATATGGATGGATTTTTCACTCACTCAGAATTGGTAAAGCATAGGGGTTCCTATGCAGATATTTCTTGCTAAACTTCTGTTTGGGCTACTAAGTTAGCTAGATCAGCCTGTCCGCCCTATCGCTCTGCGTGGAGTACATTTCGCTACTCTCAAATTAAGAGCATGCTTCTCATTATTTAACTATCCATATCGATTGCATTGATATATTTCGGGTCACATGACATGCATCCAAATTAACCGATACACCAATGCTATAACAGTCGTTTTCAGTTTGATGACATTTCTCTCATTGATTCTGAGTATTCCATCATTTTTTGGTTATTTTGGTCTCTAACAAATTCTGCATGTTGCGGGCTGCACTAATAAATAAACTTAGAATACATCGGCATTTTTGGGTTTTTGAGAAATGCCAGATCTTGACATTGTGAAGCAGGTTTATTTTGACTAAAAAACATGCTTTTCCTAAGCCTCTATGATGCTAAAATTGTATCGTCTAGGGTCAATGTATTTTCCTTTGGACTTAATGCTACTGCGTGTGCATCCCTCCAGTGGTGCTGCAGAGACACAGGAGAGGCTGAAAGTGTAGTCCACATAGGATGAAAACGGTATTTCGAGCATTCTCTTCGATCAATTTTAAACGTTGACTTTTTAAACGAAACTTCTTAATAATTTAGATATCTACATAATTTCCACAATTTCGTGATTTAGTCAGAAGAGAGGATATATAGCCAATACCCCTTGTTTATCGTTTAGGGGGACGAGTAATTTTGAATCATGCTGATTGAGGTAATTGTAATTTATAGATACGAAGATAAACTGGGTTTCGATGAATTTCCTGAGATAACGTTGTTGAGGCAACTTTCATTTCGTATCAAAGTGCATGAAGAAGAGCTTCTTAGGTCGATCTCACCAGAAAAGGATGGCTAAATCCCCTTTTAGGGCAGCCGTTTGGCTCTTAAACGACGTTCCGGTTGGCGCAGTCCGCGAGACTTCCTCCTTCGTTTCGGGTGAAAACCGGCTGATATTTCGTCCATCATATGATGGATGTTATCACAGCTGAAACTCATTCTTTTAAAAGTATCAAGTTTATACTAGGGCAAGAAGACTATTCGGCTCTATCTTACCTTTATATAGAATCTATATATTATAGAGCCGGATAGTCTTCTTGCTCTAGTTGTAACTTGATACTTTTACAAGAATGAGTTTCAGCTCTGATTAAATTCATCATATGATGATTGAAAGATCAGCTCGTTTTTCCTCGAAACGATCGAGTTATCATGAACTGCGTCAACCTGAACGTCATATAAAAGCCAAACGGCTCCATACAAAGGGATTCAGCCGTCCACTTCTGGTGCAATCGACCTATGAAGCTCTTATTTATGCACTCTGATACGAAATGAAAGTCACTCCACCAATGTTATCTCAGGAGATTGGTCGAAACCCAGTTTCTTTTCGTATCTACAATGTACGTACAGTCCGGCTTCTTGTCAATTGTCTTCTCGTTACACTATATCCAAGAAAACTATATTCCGGCAAGTTAATATAATTAGATTTGTAAACATTTATATTTCTCATAATGATGTTCCTAGGTATTGTTACTTGGTAGACGTTTTAGTCTACCGACGTCCACTAATAGTGAACTTGATCAGATATCGTATAGCTTGGTTAAAGCTAGCCTCAAGGAAAGCATTAACAGATTTCATGAACTAACTAACCAAAACTAGGCTTAGGTAATCCCTTTATGAAATAATGAGGGATGTGGATTTCCTGAGTTTATGATCCTCAGAAGTTGAGCTTTTGTCTTTCTTGTCATGACGGACATCAACATAGTGTTAAGTCATTATAAAATCAAAAATGCTAATGAATTTTGATGTCTGCCACGGCAACACAGACTAAAACTCAATACCGCTTCTTCTCGGTTGTGTGACAAGTCATCTGGGACTTGTTCGCACAAATCAACAATATCAAATCCTAGGCAATTATTTTTTG